AAATATTAGAAGTAGACCGTAGCGTTAATATAGATAGAAATTGACAAAACAAAATGGTGATTGAAAACAAAACTTCGGCACTGGTGCGCATCGGTGCGAGATTTTTACATTCTTTCTGGGCACCGATGCGCATCGGTGCCCAGAAAAAAAAATTATTCGGCACCGGTGCGCACCCGTGCACAACCAGTGCCGATAAAATATTTTTTTGTAGGGTAGTCCGTCTAAAGTATTGTGGGTTTAATTTGTGTTTCTAACTCTTCTAATTGTGCTGGACTCATTTGATAACATTGTGTATTTATTGATGATGCTGTTCCTGTATCAATTAGATGTTCAACTTCACGCTCTGACGGTAAACCGCTAAATAATTCTTTAAGTACATCGGAATATTTATTTACCAAGCCCTCTAATCACATTGGCTGTCTGATTTTTCTAACTTACCTTCTTTACTTCCGTCTCTTGAAAATACTGCATAGCATGTTTCATACTATTTCTTCCGAAATCCACGTTTTAACTTATTTGCTGTAATTAATAGACATTGACTATTTCTATATTGGATGTTGATGTTGATAATTTAATTTGTGATTTTAATCTATATGTTTCATAAAAAACGTAAAAAAATCAAAAAGCATCAATATGTTTGTTGATCTTTACGTATCTGTTGTCCAATCACCACGACCTCATGTTACACCATGATTTGATTCTGTATCGCCTCGGCCTCTCGTGCTGCTGTTGCTACCACCACGACGACTTGTTTGCACAGGAGGAATGTGTTCATCATCGATTGTTGTTGTTGTTTCCTCTTCTTCTCGTGGTAGAGTACGTTTACGATTGTTTACATTAGAACTTCGTGATGATTGTTCTATAAAGACAAAAATAAAGACCAGACAATATAGTTTAGCATACTCAAGCCCAGAATGGGCAGAGGCTATTTCTACTACTCTGCCGCGGCAATTTGCTGCAATACTATTTAGACCTGTCGATGAATCAAGGGCAATTTTTTGTGTACTAAAGAGGTGAGACTTAGGCTTCCGTCGTTCGTCTATCTGGACACGACCATGGACAAAAAACTTTTTCACTGGACAATGGAAGGACATGGACAAAACGAAAGTTTTTTCTTTCTTTCCATGTGTGTGAATCAAATAAAAATAACGAAAACGGATGCTAAGAAAGCAAACATGAGACAAAAAAGAGAACATCTGCCTTTTTCTGCACTAAGGGACAGAAGCTAAATATTCTCTCATCGCACCAATTGTCTTTTTATGTTTTTTTGTTTGGACATGGACGAACAATGGATAAATTTTTTACGCCTTGGAATAGACAATGGACGGACATGGACGAAATTAAGAAATCCATGGACGTGGACAGAACAAAATGTATCCGTCTCACCGCTGCTTTTCTCACACCTTCGCATTTTTTCAAAACATACAACCTTTCTGCGAGAGCGGAAAAGAGAAGGCTGCTTTTCTATTCGACAGGAAAGACTTTAGAGCCTATATTTTCTGTGATGTCACTTACCTTCAACTTCCATCTTTTCAGCTTGTGATGTTATTTGAACACTGACATTTTCTTTGTTTTCGTTCGATGTTTGTTCAGTCAATATTGTTTGTTGAATAGTATCTTGAGTTGATAGTTGAGTTAAAAGTGAAGTGGCTGAAGAAGAATTTAATTCTTGTAAATGTAAATCATTTGAAAGAGACGATTTTGATGTTGTTGGAGCTAATTCACTTTTATTTTGAAAGTTATTAATTTCTGTTAAATCATCTTTCGGTACGATAAACTGAGCAGTCGATGAATTAACATTTTTCGTAGATGATGCTAAGACGGCAGATGATGATGTTGTGGTTGATTTCATTTTTTCAAATTCGTGAAGTCTTCTCGATTCAGAAATCTAAAGCGAATAAGAAACTCGTTATCCGTCGCAAGGAAAACTTTCTAAGTTATTCGAAGAAAATCAGCGTTACATATGTACTAGTAGTAATAGCAAAATAAAAGAGGTGAATGACTTGTCAACATGACTTTAAAAACATGTCTTTTCAAAAAAATGCTTCAGGTCACACTGTTTTCTCTTGGGTCACTTCAAAAGCATCTTTCTGCTATACATTTTTAAAAATGCTCTCTTTCCAATCACTTTGAAAGCGCATTTTTTTACGAAATGCTCTAGTTTACAGCAGATCAAAAATGATTTATTTTCTCTATACCTGAAAGGGCTATGTTTAACCATGCGATTTATAGCAAAACAGTTTTCATAAAAAACACTTTTTGTAGCACTTTATTTTTTACAGTGCAGTCAGACGCTTTAATTGATGTAAATAAAAGTTCGTATATTAACTTATCAAAATCTTATGAATTCTTCTAAACTAATTATATAATCTGTCTTGCCGAACTCTTATCAGAATCTTATAAGATTATATAATTAGTTTATCTTATAAGATTCTGATATTCCTTCGTATAAGAATCTTACCGATTTCCATCGACTGCCTTATATAATATTCTTATAAGATCTCTATAGAATTGCCGTAAGTTTGGTCGTGTGATCGTCTTTTAGACTGAAACGTCACTACGACGCGCAGCTAGATTTTCGTTGTTCTGACATTGAACCGGAAAACGAAAGAAGATGAGAGTTACATCCAGTAAAGCACCACCGTTTTATTACTTTCTTATTTGTTGTCCTAGTGGATAAAAATGTGAGAGCTTTCTTCCGAGATATACGCATAGCCTAAGGAGCATAGTGAAGAGTCGCTATTTAAAAAAGAAATATTTTCATTCAAACGTATAACAAATAGCTGACGTTTTGACTAACGCTCAAAGCGTAAAAGCTCGATTCTCGGTGTATGTCTTTTAACAATACCATAATTTATTCTGGAATATATGATGTTTAGAACTCACAGACAAATGGCACTAATCAATTACCACGTTTAACAGAGCGTACGTCATCTGCTTTAAGATCAATGTTAAATGAACTAGCTAACATTTAGCGTTCTTTTAGATGAAAAAATCTTCTATAAAGATTTCTTTGCTCGACTAAAACTGGCTTTGGCTGATGTACTGATAAAAAACGATCACAAACAGTTGTTTGACCAGTGTCGTCTTTTGATTAATCGACAACGAGACTGTTTGCTGCACAAAGCAATTGAAAATGGTCATCATTTATTAGCATCTGAGCTTATTCACGCCTATCGACGTACAGGTCTCGAACGAAAAAATGAACACGGTGAAACGCCATTGTTATGTGCTGCAAAGCAGAACGCACAACATCTTATTCAATTACTGATTGAAAAACGAGCCGAAATCATATACGATACCGATAATGAAATGAACAATGTATTTCACCATCTTGTCAAACACGGCAATTCGTCAGCCACAATTGAATGGCTTTTGGATTATTTGAAAACGAAATTAATTGTCGATGTACAGCAAAATTTCGACAAAAAAAACAACGATCAATTAACCCCGTTAGACTTGGCTATCAAGTTGAATTTGGTAGATATCGTCAGTACATTGACATTGAAAGGGCAGTTCAAATCAAATGATGAAGATATCTTATCAACGAAACTAAATGAAATGCGTCTATCGTTGAGCGACAACGTTCACATTGGAACACTGGAGTCATGAAACAATTATTTTCAGTCATTTGTGTATTTCGGTGTATCTTGTTTTGAAGATACTTCAAATTACACGATAGTATAAATCTCGACGTGAAACACGTCTTATAAGATCTGATGTTTGCTTATAGAACCTTATGATAAGATCAGTATGCGACAAAAGTTTTGCTCGCAAACAAACGCGTTCATATCATAAATAGCAAGAACCCAAAGGTAAGTGATACCATTATTATACATAGTACCCACTAACAATTTATTATTCATATTCAGCTTGGCTATTTCTTCCATTATTCTTGTCGTTTTTTTCAGATTAATTAAATAATAAAAACAAGTGAAAAATGGAAGATATTTTTGTTTCATCAACAGTAATTAAATTATTATCGTTTCATCGATACCTTTTTTAACTTGATTCGTCGACACGATTTTTGTTTTGTCGGCAGCTTTGTATACCATTGTAAAGTAATATATGGCTTGAACGGCTAACGGTACCCTTTTTTCTTTTTAAAAAAAACATGGTAAGCAAACTAATAGCTTTTGACTAACAGCTAATAGTTCGTTGACTACATTAAACATTTCTCTACGAAATGGGATGTTTCTCAACTCCAGATGATGTACCCTTAGTGAGACACGAAGACAAATACTTTTACTTTATCCAGTCAACCAAGAGAAGAGCAGACTAACAGAAATGATGTTTACACTAAGGATTAAAATGTCCCCATAAAGACTGACTGTATAAATTATACACACTAATGTCGAAATGCTAAACGAAAGAAGTAAAAAGAATGAAAGTTAAAGAAGAAATGAAGAGTAAGGAAAAAGTAAAAGAAGTATGATGTTAGCCATGGGCGGGTCGGGACCACGGATCAAAAAACTGCTCCCGTAAAAGTACAACTTTCGTTGTAAAATCAAATTCTAATGTGAGTTTCAAACTCGCTTTTCTCTCAAATTTTTTCTTCCAAGGCTGTACAAAGCTATACAACACAGTACAATAGCAAAAAGCCGCATTGAACATTCCGCCAGTGGCGGAACATTTTTTCGTGTTCTGTGGCCAAATTTTTCATCGGAACTAAATAATTAACTACGGGATTGTGACCAAAAAAGGTTAGTCCCATTCACCTCTAGTTGTTGTACCCATAGAAAAAGCTTGTCAGCGTTGCTCCTGTGGAGCAAAAAGTGTGAAAACTTTCGTGACCTTTACTAGGGACAGCAAGCCTTCTAGCAAAAATACTGGCACGACTACATTTTCACAGACTAACATTCCTGCCTATTCTTAACAAGAAATTAAGACTATGTAAACCCTAACATTTTCCCCTAGGATTCTCTCTATAAAAATAAACTTCAAACTTCCATCTACTTCGGAAAACGGACGTATCCCTGGAAGTTTTCACAAAAGAAGATGATGAACGAAAATAACAATAATAATACTGGATGGATAATTAAAAAGAGATATAAGCTTGATACGTATTACGTACGATTATCTATGACTATGTTTTAATGCTGTAAACGGAAAGATCAATAAGATGTTGTCCTGATTAAACAATAAAGGCATTATCGTAAACAAAATATTCCAGAAACAATAACATTTTCTTTTTCTTGACTGATTTTAGCAGAAATCTCAGAATGTAAATGCACAAAGCGATCTTACACCGAGGGAACTCACATGATAACTCAACCTTTGTGTACATTACTCTCACTGTTGTGCGTTTTCATTCTGAGATTTCTGCACAGTCAACATATTTAACTGAACCTACACATGGGAGAAGACTTTAGATGTGGTGTATTGTCCGAGAAAGAATATTGTCTTTCGATTCTAAAACTGTCAAGAAGAAAATAGTTCAACTTTGAGACAAAAAAATAAATTTTCCTCTTCGAATGCTCTTCTTCTCTCGAAAATTGCTG